AAGTGATTCTCCTGCCTCAGCCTCCTGAGTAGCTGGGATTATAGGCACCTGCCACCACATCCAGCTAATTTTTGTACTTTTATTAGGAACTGGGTTTCATCATGTTGGCCAGGCTGGTCCTGAACTCCTGACCTCAGGTGATCTGCCTGCCTCGGCCTCCCAAAGTTCTGGGATTACAGGCATGAGCCACCACACCTAGCCTAGCACATGTGTTTTTATGGGGAGAAAACAGAGAGGAAACTCACCTCTTTGGTAATTATGGTCAACCCTAGAGAATATATTGGAGAGGAGTGATAATATGCTCACTCATGAGCCTAGTCCTCTAAAAAGAATAATAGGCCAGGTGCAGTGGTTCATGCCTTTAATCCCAGCACTTTGGGAGGCTAATGCAGGAGGATCACTTGAGGTCAAGAGTTCAAGACCAGCCTGGCCAACATGGTGAAACCCATTCTCTACTAAAAATACAAAAAAATTTAGCTGGGCATGGTGGTGCCCACCTGTAATCCCAGCTACTAGGGAGGCTGAGACACAAGAATCACTTGAACCTGGGAGATGGAGGTTGCAATGAGCTGAGATAGTGCCACTCCACTCCAGCTTGGGTGACAGAGTGAGGCTCTGTCTCGAAAAAAAAAAAAACAAAAAAGAATAATAATTGTAGGTGCCATTATTGGTATTCTTACATATAAATTAGGTTCTGGATTATTAAAAATTCTTGGCTGGGTGTGGTGGCTCATGCCTATAATCCCAGCACTTTAGGAGGCTGAGGCAGGCAGATCACCTGAGGTTAGGAGTTCGAGACCAGCCTGGCCAACATGGTGAAACCCCGTCTGTACTAAAAATATAAAAATTAGCTGGCTGTGGTGGTGTGCACCTGTAATCCCAGATACTCGGGAGGCTGAGGCGAGAGAATTGCTTGAACCTGGGAGGTGGAGGTTGCAGTGAGCTGAGATCCACTGCACTCCAGACTAGGAAACAGAGGGAGACTCTGTCTCAAAAAAATAAAAAAGAAAAGACAATACTTTGGGGAAATATATTCTATGCCCAAACAGCATCTTTTTATAAGTCATTAAGGGAGTAAATGCACATAGGCAGTAGGCGTGAAACTGTGGTCACAAAAAGCTCTGCAAGATAAAAGATCACCTTCAGCAACTAAGCTATGGACCCTTTGCCAAGTCAGTGACTGGATCCAGCCCCATGGCTGGGCTGACATTGCAGCTTCAGAGCTACTCATGACCTTGGCCCAAATTGTGGTTCTCTGAGCAATGAAAGGGTGGAGCACAGCAAGAGGCAGGATGCGTGCATTGCAGGGTTTTTGGGAACAGGGATGAAATTAACCCAGTTGGGGCTGGTCTATCCAATGGTTGCACCTGGGGGTCTAAGAGAAGCAGTCATTTCCTGAAACTTGACAAGTGGGGAGCAAAAGAGAGTCTATGACTCCTTGAGGATGAGAGCATCTCCTTCCTACTCCTCCCCTTTGGAGGATCTGTCCTTGGCACTTGAACAATTCCATCCCAGTAGGTGCAACTGGAAGCATTTGTAGCTGTACAAAATTTAGGTGGAAACTAGAGGATGGGGGAGTACTACTTCTCCCACCCACTCTGCCTTGAGCTTGGCCACCTCTTTCTCTGGGTCCTAGGGGAGCCTGTGCTCCATATATCACATTACCCTGCACTTCCCCCTCAGAGATCCAGTTCAAGTCCCATGGCCTCCCTCCTAATGCTTTACTAGCCCACCCAATTGCACTGGTTGAAAGGTTGCTTAGGCCGGGTGTGGTGGCTCACGACTGTAATCCCAGCACTTTGGGAGGCCAAGGCGGGTGAATCAGCTGAGGTCAGGAGTTCAAGACCAGCTTGGCCAACATGGTGAAACCCTATCTTTACTAAAAATACAAAAATTAGCTGGGTGTGGTGGTGCACACCTGTAGTCTGAGCTACTCGGCAGGCTGAGGCAGGAGAATCGCTTGAACCTGGGAGGCAGAGGTTGCAGTGAGCTGAGATTGCGCCAGCCACTGTACTCCAACCTGGGCAACAGAGCAAGACTCTGTCTCAAAAAAAAAAAAAAAAGGTTGTTTAGGGTGGGTCTGTCATTTCTCTTCTCATCTCAACTTCAGTACAGGTCATATGGAGTTCTGTCTGGGAAGAATGCCAAAGGACTCTGATATGTTTGTGCTGAAATATTGTGGTAATCAAATATTATGTGAAATAAGTTGGCCATCAGCCAAAGATTGGAGCTCTTGTTAGTTAAACAGAGATTTGGCAATGCTAACATTGGACGTGATAGTCTTTGCACTTGATGTCAATTACTATGACTTCTAGTTATTTCACATTTTTCTCCAAATAGCACCTAATCATAACCATGAGTTAGACTTCCAGCATTTGAAGAATTAACAGCCTAGATCTGGACTCTAAGGCCCTTGATGTGTAATTCTGTGAGGCACATATTTTCTTTCTTTTTTTAATGTACTCTTTTGTTCACTAATGCCTCCAGGTATATTTCTCTCCCTATGAACAAGGACATACATAGTAGAAGTCACACCTTAAAAAATAAGTTTGAGTATAAACCTGTTGATTGAAACTGATGCACATATTTTCATCTGATAGGTTTCAAAGTTGATGTGGGCCAGGCACCATGGCTTACGCCTGTGATCCCAACACTTTGGTAGGCTGAGGCAAGTGGATCGCTTGAGCTTAGGAGTTGAGACCAGCCTGGGCAACACAGTGAGACCTCACCTCATCTCTACAAAAAATAAACAAAAAATGAGCCCAGTCGCATGCCTATAATTCCAGCTACTTTGGAGGCTGAAGTGGGAGGACTGCTTGAGCTTGAGAAGTTGAGGCTGCAGTGAGTTGAGAATCATGCCACTGCACTCCAGCCTGGGTGACACAGGGTCACTTTGTCTCAAATAACAACGATAACAAAAACCAAAGTTGGTGTGTGGGAATGAGTCATTTAGCTAAGGAGTGAACCAAGCTCGTGAGAACAACTGCCCTTCATCTGTTGTTTTCTACTTGTCCTTGAGTATGTAGCAATTCTCTCACAGAAAGAGACCTGGAAAAAAATGTTGGGGATAGAGAAGAAAAAAATATAAACAGCCCAAGAAAATGAATGACCTTAGTGAGAAAACAGAATTTCTAGGCCGGGTGCAGTGGCTCACGCCTGTAATCCCAGCACTTTGGGAGGCTGAGGCAGATAGATCACTTGAGGTTAGGAATTTGAGACCAGCTTGGCCAACAGGGTGAAACACTGTCTTTACTAAAAATACAAAAATTAGTTGGGTATGGTGGCGTGCACCTGTAATCCTAGCTACTCAGGAGGCTGAAGCAGGAGAATTGCTTGAACCTGGGAGGTGGAGATTGCAGTGAGCCGAGAAGGTACCACTGCACTCCAGCCTGGTGACAGCACAAGACTCTGTCTCAAAAAAATAAATAAATAAAAAATAAAACAAGAAAAGAAAACAATTTATGAATACATTAAAGAGTAAAATATCCAATTTAGTGGTAGTTCAGATCTACTATATGAACGAGTTCCCCATACATTCTATACAAAAGTAAAAGGCAATTAGCAAAAGCGTTTGAGTGTTCTAGCCAGTATGAAAACCAACTTTATTTTGGTATTAATACAATCATTAAGGTTCAGAAGGAGGTCACTGGAAATTTATAGGTATGCTTTCCCACACTACAGGGTGAAAATTATATGCTATAATCATGTTTGCAAATTTGGAACATTTAAGATCTAAGAAGAGATTCTTAAAGAAGGGACTATTATTATCCTCATATTTGTTTGATTGGTGCTTAATGGTTTCTAAATTGTTTTCATGTGCTCGAGAGATGCTGCTGGCAGCAGTTAGTTAGCTGTGGGAAAAACAAGGGGTCAGCCAGGCCTAAGCCCTCATTATGGTGCCATTTCTTCTGTGTTGCCTTAGTAAGTCCCTTACCTGCCCCAAGACTCTGTGTCGCCACCTATTTCATAAGAATACAAATACTACTTGCTCTGCTCACTTCGCAGAGCCCTGGTAATGTCCAAAAGAGCTAATGTGAGAAAGTGAAAAGTATAATGAATGGTTCCTGTGGCATTCACTCATTCATTCATTTCACAGATATTACTGAACTCTACTTGTGCCAAGATGGGTGGATTGCTTGAGCTCAGGAATTTGAGACCAGCCTGAGCAACATAATAAGACACCGTCTCAAAAAAAAAAAAAAAGTCGGCTGGGCGCGGTGGGTCACACCTGTAATCCCAGCACTTTGGGAGGCCAAGGCAGGCAGATCACAAAGTCAATGGATCGAGCCCATCCTGGCCAACATGGTAAAACTCCGTCTCTACTAAAAATATAAAAATTAGTTGGGCCTGGTGATGCATGCCTGTAGTCCCAGCTATTCCAGAGGCTGAAGCAGGAGAATCCCTTGAACCACAGAGGCGGAGGCTGCAGTGAGCCGAGATTGTGCCACTGCCCTCCAGCCTGGCAACAGAGTGAGACTCCATCTCAAAAAAAAAAAAAAAAGTCTAGGTAGAGAGTTGGTAAAGGGAATAAAAGAATTTGCATACAGCTGTGTGGTCCCTGCACTTGACTTCTGACTAAACCAAGCATAGCAAAACTACAGAGGAAACAGACAGACCCAACCCACCGTCCACAGCTGGTGGGCAGGCGGTTTTCCTCAGCTATCCCCTCCCTCCTAATTATGCCCTGGCTGCTGTCTTCTATAGTCAAAATGAACTCTACAGCAGTACTGAGCCAGCCAGCTCCCTTACAAAATTTCCATGGGGTCTCACGTTGCTGTTTCCCCCAAGAGATGGCTCTATACTCTGGTCTGGCCAGGGGAAAAAAGTAATTACAGCCAGCTGCTCACAAAAAAACAGGCAGAGAGAGAAAAGAGAGAGGAGAGATGCTCTCGCAACTAAATCAGAATGACACACTATTTAACCTAATTACCTGCAAAGCCACATCCAGCCATTAAGGATTCATATTCTGTAATAGAATTTCCTGCTATGGAAATACTCACCCACGCACAGGATGTTGAAGCAGAAGCCCTGGCTAACGGACTTATTCACCAGCTGGTCAGGCAAGCTGTCAAACCCCACATGTCCAGCCAGGGGGACAGTTCGGCAACCTTCACCCTAATTTGGAAGGGGTCGGGAGAAAATGAAAATGTGCTTAAAAGCAGTCTGGGTCTCATTTCTCCATCCAATTGTTCACCGTGCAAGAAAGTCACACCCGCCCAGGCCCAGCATGTCATCTCTTCCCTCAGCTACTCCCTGCTCCAAGCAAAATGGCCCATCAGCTTGGAAATCACAGATTCTTAGAAACAGGTATCCTCTAGGTTCAATATAGGCATCCTGTAGGTTCAATGTCGCCACAGCTCCAGACAGAGCAAATTACAGAGGGGCTTATTGGGGGCAGGAGGGTGGAGTCAGGGGAGGAGAATGCTGGCACTGGAGGTTCACAGACTCAGGTTAAATCTTCACTGTCATTTACAAGCGGAGTAACTCGCTGAGACTGTTTCCTTCCACATCTGCCATCTGAGATAATATGGCATATCTTAGAAGTGACTGGGAGCCTCAGAAGCACTAATACATGTAACAAGCTTAGTACAGGCAGAAGTGTTCAGTAAGTATTACAAAAAGACTTCAAAAAGCAATTATTGGGCCGGGCGCAGTGGCTCATGCCTATAATCCCAGCACTTTGGGAGGCCGAGGCAGGCAGATCACTTGAGGTCAGGAGTTTGACACCAGCCTGACCAACATGGTGAAACCCCGTCTCTACCAAAAACACAAAAATTAGCCGGGCATGGTGGTGGGTGCCTGTAATCCCACCTGAGGCAGGAGAATTGCTTAAACCTAGGAGGCGGAGGTTGCAGTGAGACGAAATTATGCCACTGCACTTCAACCTGAGCAACAAGAATGAAACTTCATCTCAAAAAAAAAAAGAAAGGCAATTATTGGCTGGCAAAATGGCTCATGCCTGTAATCCTGGCCCTTTAGGAGACCAAGGTGGGTAGATCATTTGAGGCCAGGAGTTTGAGACCAGCCTGGACAACACAGCAAGAAGTATCTCTACAAAAAAATCAAAAATTAGCTGGACTTGGTGGCATGTGCCTGTAATACCAGCTACTTGGGAGGCTGAGGTGGGAGGACTGCTTGTGTCCAGGAGGTAGAGGCTGCAGTATGCTATGATGGCACCACAGTACTCCCACCTGGGCAACAGAGCAAGATCCTATCTTTAAAAAAAAAGCAGTTGTTCCTCTCTCTAGGACATTTTGTGGATCTACCAAGGCAGCATAGTGTAGAGGTTAAGAGCAGAGGCTTTGAAATCTGGCAGGTGTGAGTTACAGTACCACCTCCACCACCTCCCAGCTGTGTCACCCTCAGACAAGTTACATAAACCTCTCAAGATTTCCCCATCCATAAAATCGGAAACTATTGAGTAGGAGTGTGAGGATTACACAGGATCATGCTCCTCAATCCCTTAGCGTAGTGTCTAGCATGTATGTGGTGAGCATTCAATCAGCAGTAGCTGCTGTTGTTATTCACGGTGGGGTTATCCTTACACCCCCCCGCCTGAAGGGTACCGCATGGAACACTGGCTCCCTATGGCTGCAGGAAGCTGCCTCCATGCTTCCTCTGGATCCCTTGACTCCATAAGGGTCAGCCAAGCCACTCCCAGCCATGGAAAGCAGAGGGCCTTTGCTTCGCCTGCAAGGCCCAAAGCTGCTTATATTTAATGATTTTACAAAACAGGGGGAGCCTCAAACTGGGGCAGGATTCCAAGAAGCCAGGGGAAGCATGACAGGGGCCTGGGTGGACTCAAGAAATGTGTCAACGACCAACCAAAGGCCACCAGGAAGGGAAGGGGATAGAAGAGAAGGGAAGCTGAAGACAGTTGAGCTGGACAAGAAGGAGTACTATGTAAGGAGTCAGTTTCTCTTGGGTGGGGCCGCACCAAGTTTTCCATAACCAGAAAGATGCCAAGAGCAATCCAAGAAGGACATGGTGAGTGCCAGGAGGCCCAGCCCAGCATCCCAGGCTGCAGTAGCAGGCAGCTCTTCTGTTGAGCTGGACCAGCTTTTAGACTAGGTCCATAATAAGGGCACATTTTCACACTGAAAGGGGTGGGCTGAGAGGGAGGAGGAGCTTCTCAGCAGCCGATCTTGTCAGAACTGGCTCCCAGACAGGCCCCTCACACAGCTTTAGATCTCACGCCCATCGGTGTCATTGGATCCTCTGAGGGCAAGTGACAGGGCTAGTGCCAGTGAATGCCATGTGGCAAGTTCATTACCCTCACATATCTCACGCTGCACACTCCCAGTGGAGAACTCTTGACAGACAACCATATACCATCATTCAGTGAGAGTCGGGGTATTCTCTGCCCCATGGGGCCCCCTGAAGACAGCTGAGGCCAGGCGCGGTGGCTCACACCTACAATCACAGCACTTTGGGAAGCCAAAGTGGGCGGATCTCTTGAGCCCAGGAGTTTGGGACCAGCCTGAGCAACATGGCAAGCCCCATCTCAACAACAACAAGAAAAATACAAAAATGAGCTGGGCATGGTGGCGTGAGCCTGTGGTCCCAGCTACTCAGGAAGCTGAGGTGGAATGATCACCTGAGCCCAGGAGGTCGAGGCTGCAGTGAGCCATGATCGCACCACTGCACACCAGCCTGGGTGACAGAGCAAGACCCTGTCTCGGAAAAAAAACAACCAAAACTGAGCTTCATAAGTGGTTCACATCACTCAAGGCTTTGTTCTACATTCACTCCTTTCTGCTTCGCCTTCCCATTTCCCCTTCTTATGAAAGCAAACTAAGATGCAAGATTCCCACTGCTAGTTATTGGTCCGAAACGCTGCAGGGGAGCCAGGGACATGAGAACTGATATGCTTTCTTAATGGAGCCTCCGACATAGCAGGCATCGGAAATTGCGGTGGACTCAGAGTTGAGGTTTCCTGAGCCATTTGTTATCACCCCTGGCTGCCTTTTCCGGCCTCCAAATTCAGCACTGTGAAACTTCAAGTGCTCTAAAGCCAAAAGGACAGAAAAGAAATTTTCAAACTGAAGACTGTGGAAGGCAGCGTGAGAGCTTCACATCTTATTCCTAAAGGTTTACTCCATTGCCAAAAACAAAAACTTACCAAACACCTCCCATGTGCCCACCGTTATCTCCCACCTAGCACAGTGCTGTAAAGAGCCCTAAACAGCAGAAGAATTTTCTTTTTCCTTTTTTTGTTTTTGAGACAGAGTCTCTCTGTCACCCAGGCTGGAGTGCAATGGCACAACCTCCGCTCACTGCAACCTCCGCCTCCGGGGTTCAAGTGATTCTCCTTCCTCAGCCTCCCAAGTAGCTGGGATTACAGGTGAACAGCACCATGCCCAGCTAATTTTTTTGTATTTTTTTAGCAGAGATGGGGTTTCACCATGTTGGCCAGGCTGGTCTTGAACTACTCACCTCAGGTGATCCACCTGCCTCGGTCTCCCAAAGTGCTGAAATTACAAGCATGAGCCACGACGCCTGGCCAAGAAAAAAGAATTTTCTAAGCCTTAAGAAGCAAAGCATGGACTTCATTCCCTAGGCAATGGGATTTGGGGGTTTTTGAATGTTTCAAGCAGGGAGGGCCATGATACAGGGAGTTTTTAAAAGATCACTCCAGGCCCGGCTCGGTGGCTTATGCCTGTAATCCCAACACTTTGTGAGGCCAGGTCGGGCAGATCACGAGGTCAGGAGTTCGAGACAAGCCTGGCCAATATGGTGAAAATCCGTCTCTACTAAAAATGCAAAAAATTAGCCAGGCATGGTGGCACGCACCCACAATCCTAGCTCCTTGGGAGGCTGAGGCAGGAGAACTGCTTGAACCCAGGAGGCGGAGGTTACAGTGAGCTGAGATCGCACCATTGCACTACAGCCTTGGCGACAGAGTGAGACTCCTTCTCAAGAATAACAACAACAACAACAACAACAAAGATCACTCCAGCTGCAGGGTGTTTGCCTGATTGGAGGGACAGAGAGACTAGGAGCAGGAAGACATAGGAGAAGATGACTCCAATAATGTTGAACTGGCAGAGACATCCAGGCACTGTGACAATAAATGCTAGTTTATTGGTGAGAACTGGCCTGACCTGGGAGTCAAAGAGAAGGAACAAATTTGAGAGATGTCTTAAAGAAGGGTTGAGCCTCTGCCAGGCATGGTGGCTCATGCCTGTAATCCCAACACTTTGGGAGGCTGAGGTAGGCGGATCGCAAGTTCAGGAGATCCAGACCAGCCTGGCCAACATGGCAAAACCATGTCTCTACTAAAAATACAACCATTAGCCAGGTGTGGTGGCAGGTGCCTATAATCCCAGCTACTGGGGAGGCTGAGGCAGGAGAATCACTTGATCTCAGGTGGCAGAGGTTGCAGTGAGCTGAGATCATGCCATTGCACTCCAGCCTGGACAACAGAATGAGACTATCTCAAAAAAAAAATGTATATGTATATTTCCTGTTTGAAGAAATCGTGTCTGGCAAACACTATGCACTCTTGCTTTGATGAATCTTGTAAGATGTCAAGGTCATCATTATGAATTTCAGTCCTCATTGTTCAGAGCCAAATATGCAGAGGTAGAAAGGACACGACTTTGGAGAACGTACACTGACCCCAGCACAGCCCCTGGAAGCTTCTTCCCTCCTCTCACTAAATCTCTGATATCTTATCTCTTTCTTCTTTCTCCTTAAGGTGGCCTGATTAATTGATGACCTGATTACTTTGATTGCAGTTAATTGCATGTTCCGTTGACTACAGTGTACACGAGAGGAGATGGAACCGGCAACTTGGCCCAGCACGTCTGACACTAAATCTCAAGTTTGCATCTTTAGTAGCAGGTGGGGCCATATTGCCATATTGAAGTCTTGAACTGAGATGGTGGGACAGCCAAAGCCACCAACATTCTAAATTGTACTTCTCTCAAAAACCCTCAGCCTCCTTTCAGAATCGGTACAAAGATCTCTTACAAAGAAATTTATTACAGCACAGTTTCTAATACTGAAAAACTAAAAAAAAACAAAACCAAAAAACCCAACGTAAATGTCCAACAAAAGGAAAATATTTAACCAAATTATGGTACATGCATATTCTGGAATATTCTACATCC